AGATGTGTATACACTCTCTGTATATACGTATCTATAGTCTAATAAGTGTACCACTCACGTTACCTAGCATCGTCATCCACCCGGCAAATGACACTGTGTCGTTTACAGTTGAGAGCATGCACGTCGAAATAAATTTCAAAGAAGTAGATACAATCGTCAAGTACTTCATTCCAATCTGTTTGAGTAAGTATACTCCTGTGAATCCTGTAGATATTTCGAAAACTTTTATAAACAATTGTACTTTTTAGGCAGGTCATAGGACAATAAAATAATATAACAATTAAATTACATAGTGCGTAGGAAAATCCTGAATTATATATAGATCTTGGTTATATATAGCAACACTTATTGATTATTGATGCAAATATCAACAATGTCGATGTCCAATTCTGTGCATTTATATTTTGATGTCTACTTATTGAATGTTACCTACTTGGAGGTTGTGTGAAGTTTGAGTTTGAAAGATGTATATCCGCAGCCCCATCTCCTAACATATGATTATCAATCAGCTCATAACCAAAACAAAAAAAAAAAACAAAAAAAAAACACAATGGCCTCAATTTTGTAATATATGATAGTTGCATTGCCCCTTGCGTATACACCTTTCTGACTCCCCAATTTGTCACTGTAAAAAAATTAAACATGATGATGCACACGCTGCTCCGTACGTCCTTCATGGAGCAGTGCTTTAAACTGGGCACACTTACCAGAAAGGTTGGTAATAGCGATTAATATAGCTCCAATGAATGTCGTATACCCGTCCGTGGAACCTATCGAATCTGCAATTGCTGCATTCAGTACGCCCATGGTAACAAAACTCATACCGACGAGGAAGTACAAAAATCCATTGTTGATAAGGCAGATACATTTCGCTGTATTTGATAAGTTAGAGTGTGGTAAACAACCATTTTCCATCTCTGTACTCAGCAAATGTCTTCTACTTGATGTACAATTGTGAACTCTAGCAGCAATACTTCGGTGGCTTTACATCGTTGAATGTCGTCGAATATAAACAATGAATTCTAAGGCTTAAGCATATATATTTTACACAAGAAAATGGTATGCTAATTGGATAGTGTAAACCTAGATGAAATAGATTTCCTGTGATATAGGGATACTTCTTGACAATGCGTTCGTTTCAGCATAGACAGTGGTAATAATCATTGTGTGTGTACTGGGTCCGTGAATATAGAGACTCTGTGGCACTGGTTAAATTCCATCAACTGCATGTCTTTCGGTGTAGGTCTGCTTTCCAAAATAGTTATAATAGTATTAGCTCCACTTATGAAGTCCTTTGTTAAGTCTAAGCTAACAAATCAAACAGACAATTGCTTAGATAAAAAATCTATTTGCATACAAGATAATGGAGGCGTTGAAGATAACATTGTTACAGAATATTCTCGTCTGGAACTGGCTACATCACGTATACTGTACATTTTTCTTTACATTTTTTCAGCATTTAATATACTTCGTCTCATATTTTGATGGATACGTTAAGGAATATGGATGTTAACCCAACTTTGAACGTCTGGATTTGTAATTTTTCAAGCGGCGCAGACGACATATAGATTTAACTAATTCTTTCAAGTTCACTGACATGTGTAGTAATAAATAAAGCGCTTTTGACCCCGGTCATTGGGTCTAAATCCCTTGATCTTATTTAGGCGGCCTGCGGGGCCAAATTTGGCTCGAATGGCAATTTAATTTGGCCCTAAGGAAAAACAAAATAATAAGAACTATATTTAAAACATATTAAAAGTACAAGGAATAAAAGGCAACCTCTAGGTAATGTGCTTGGTTTTAAATTAAGCGAGATAATATAGGCCATGTAGAATAATGGCGTCAAAAATTGATTACTGGGTAGTTTCATGGTCTTATTCTTCTCTGTGTTTTCAAACAAGCAAAAACAAAGAAAGAGCTAAAACGCGTAATGATGTAAAATTAAACCTTGTAAATAGAACTATCAAAGACCACCGACTTTTGTGCAGTCAAGTTCCGTCTCTTTGTTTTGTTCTATTTATTATGAATCTTATCTTTACATTGTATCTTTTACTTTACATAGATAATAAAAACGTTGGTGTACCAGATGACGAGGAAAACGTTTTGTATTAAAAACAATTAAAACAAAAAATCCCGTCATTCTAAGCGCAGGCTTTTTGTAATGTGATCAATTGCATTGGTAGCGAAACCCAAAGTTGACCAACGACTGATGAACTGGTATGAAACAACACAAGCGCTGGTGTAGTACTGTACGCACCATTAAAAGTACAATTTGAAATTGCCATAAAATCTTTCAAATTGACCTGTCTTAGCAAAAAGAGATTCTCGATAACGATTGATTTCAACTCGCCGGAGATTATCTTTGACCCATGAGATCAACTCTAAAAATCATTTGGCCTACAAATTAAGAACCAGGGGTCTACCTGCTTAAGTGTTGCTGCTGTAATCAGTGCAGAAGCAGGTAAACCCACCAGGTACCTATTTCTACCTTGCTCAAGGACACAAACGAAATGCACAGTGAGGGATTTGAAACTGTGCTGTGCTCTATTACCACCAAGTTAGTTAGTTGGCTAGATAATTAGTTAGCTAGCCAACTAGCTATAACAAGAATGCTACATAATACAAATATCATTCCACAAGCGTGAACGTGCAATGCCATTTATACATTCATACATTCTACATGCTAGGACGTAATCTCTACGTTCTTCAAGTAGTTTCCAATTAAATTGTTTAATAAGATTAACCTCACGATAATTTATAAAATCAAAATTAATTTTAACTATTCTAGCATCACGTTTTTCTGCCTTAACTGAACGTGTTTTTGGATTTTTTTTTTATAGATATAGTTCGCCAAACTGAAATTGCATAGTCCATAAATGACTACTAGGTCTCTTAGAACGAGTCGCTTTCTTGAAGTTCCCTTCTGTGGAACCTCAAATGAAAAATTCAGCTATTCCTACGATTGTTAACTTGTTTAATATGCTGCACATTAACTAATTATTTTGATGTTGCTTATTAAGTAAATTAAGTTACATTTACATTTTAGTTTTTAATAACATCTGGTGGAGGAGTAGTTTTGTTCTAATTCTTACTCTCAATAATTTCTTGACTGCGGGTTTTTATTTTTTAGTTGTTATGTGCAATATTTTTTGTGTGCCCTACTTTATTAATTAATGTTTTTATCTTGCAATTTTCAATCAATCAATCAATCAAACAATCTTTATTTTCCATCGTGAAATTCTGGACAACAGCGCCCCCATACAGCCCATATTCTGGACAGAAAAAGCCCGTATTCTGGACAGATTTCACCAACCCGTCTCGAATTGTTGGTACTATTATAAGCAGAGTGTAGAGAATGTGTATGGTCTTTCATTATCTTAAATATCACAATATAACAGCATACCTAAATGTAAAAGTATAAAAAGAATTGACGAATAAATAATGTGTAAGAGAGAAAAAAAAGGAAATGTAAACAAAAAGAATTATCAACGAAGTAGATAATCTCACTAAATATTAGATATTGATTATGATTATTACCTAATTTATTCACTTAATATTGAAGTTTTAACTTTTAACATTCATTTTAATATATAAGAGTTTTTAACTCTTACTGGCAAATTATTCCAAAATTTAGGTCCAGTAGAAAATACAGAAATACATTTTAGAAATACTTTTGAATAATTCAATAATATTTATATATTTATTATATTTTGATGTCATTAATTTAATTTTTAGGCCTTATAATTAAGTCTAGTAATTTTTTAGTTGATTTGTCTTTGTGTGTATTTTTTAATGTTTTGTCTTTCTTTGTGTAATTTTGTATACATATAATTTAAAGATTTTTTACGTTTTTTTAAATACATTTATTTCAGCCCATGGCTGAAGAAGCTTTAAAATAAAGCAAGAATTTCAAAATCTCTATAAAATTGTTTAACTGTTCTAAAATTTGCACATGAATTAAAAAGATATTATATTTATTGTAAAAACGAGTTTGTACGGTATATCTACAAAGTGATAATCCTGGAGGCAAAAATCTGAAGCCTGAATTGTTGGTACAATTATAAGCATAGTATAGAGAATGTGTAGGGTCTTTCATTTTCTTAAATATCAAAATATAACAGAATACCTAAAAGTAAAAGTAAAAGAATTGACGACTAAATAATGTATAAGAAAGAAAAAAAGAAGGAAATGTAAACAAAGAGAATTATCAACGAAGTAGATAATCTTACTAAATATTAGATAGTGATTATGATTATTACTTAATTTATTCACTTAATAATAAAGTTTTAACTTTTAACATTGATTTTAATGCACTAATGAGGATTGTAGACTTTTAGTTTTTTCTGACCCTTTGTTTTAATTGTTTGTACTAATTTTTGTAATGTTTTTTGGTCGAATAAATAAATGAAATGACGAAGCTCAGTCACAGATGCAAAGAAACCACACGGCCATACTAAGAGGTTTCACTAAGGATTACATCATATTATAAGAGTGGGCTATGTTAGAAAATCAAATGAAATGAAATCAGTAAGCAACAAATGGGAGAATGTAACACAGGAATGAGGATCAAATAAGCCTAAATTGCTTTTTTTGACTGATCCCCATAAGCATAACATACAATGAAATATTATTAATAATAATATGTATTGCTTTACTAAAATAGTAACAATGACAATAACAATAAACAAATAACAATAGCAATAATAAGAATGACAATAATAATATTAACAAAAACATTAACAATAATAACAAAAGGCATTACAATATCGAAAAAAAATACAGCAAAAGTAATAGCAGTAACAGTAACAATTAAATAAAAAAATGAATATTACAGTGACTGCAAAATGCCTTCTTTTTGAAACATTTATTCAACCAATAAATAATAAATAAAAGTAAGTACAACATAAGGAAATGAGATGATGGATAATGAATAGCATACATAAACGATATAGTTTTATAAATTATGAGTAAATTATATAACAAGTAATTAATTAATAATTTTCCATTTGATAATTAAATTATACAACAGGTTCTATTGGTTTTGATCAGGGCTAGAAGTTAAATTAAACTTGCTTAATCTATTACTTAAAACTCACTTTTCCATCATTAACGTGCAAAGCGCCTTTGATAATGCACCTCCATCGTTTAATTGATGCTGTCACAAGCTCTGTTTTTGTTTTTCAACCAATGAAATGACTGAGTACAACTTGTTGCAATTCACACCAGATTATCTATCTAATCGTCGAATCTTCCGACTTTAACAATGAAAAGTAAAGGTATAATATAAAATTAACACAGAATCATCATTATACAAATATCGAACGGAAATGTTCCCGTTTATAAACAAAATGTTCTCACGGCACGTTACGTCTGCTCGGTTCTACCGTAGCAACAAATCAACTTGGGCCGCTCAATTCCCCCAGCTTTCCTACAATAGTCTCTTGTAGCACAGTATCCGTAAAACTCGGGCGTCTCAATTCCACCACAGTTTTCTCGGCAGCATTATCCATAAAATTCGGGCGTCTCAATTCGACCACAGTTTTCTCGGCAGTATTATCCATAAAACTCAGGTGTCTCAATTCCACCACGGTTTCCTGTAATATTTTTCATAAAACTTGGGTGGCTCAATTCCACCACAGTTTTCTTGTATATATCAAGCATATTCCAGGCTACACACTTAGCCACATACTGCAGGATACTTCTCAAATCAAGCATAATTCCAATCCTTTAGGCCTATCTTTTGGCCATTCAAATCATTGGCCTCCCTTGAGCTCAGCCAATCTTCCTCAACTGACCTCTACACAGTCCACCCCTCGCAATCATCCAAAATTAGCATAATTAATTTGCATATGCATAATTAAAATTAGCATACAAGATATCCAGGTAAGACACAAAGTGTATATGAAAAGTATGAGCTTCATCTCCTTTAGGTCAACATATACAGTCTTTCCATATAATGACGCAAAACTGAAGTTAAAGTATGGCAAAGCGAGTTACCAAAGATACTTATGGCTTACAGATCTACTTCGCATAGATCTTCAAATAAAGCACCAGCTGAACTGCTATTTGGCAGAAACATAAAAACAAAGTCACCGCGATATAAAAAGGAAACTGATATCTCCGCAGAGTTAAAGAACCATAATCAGACATATAAGGCTAAGATGAAGGTTTATGCAGACACTAGCCGACAGGCAGATGTGCATGATTTTAAGATAAGAGACTTCGTGTTTGTTGCAAACTGTATTAAACAAAGTAAATTTGATCCAACTTACTTTAGAAACACGCTATGTTATTTTGCAATAAGGAGATAATGCGTTTGAATTGGTTAATTCTGAAAATGGTCAAATTATTCAAAGAAATGTTAAACATTTAAGACATGTTCCGAACAAGAGTTTTGATGTAAATAATGAACGTAAATTGAATGATGTGATTAATGAACATGATTCAACTAAACTGATGTGATGAATGTGGTTTGAATGATGTGATAAATGAAGGTGGTTTGGATGTTATTAATGAA